TACATTCGGTTCTGTAAGGCATACTCCGTTTGATTAGGTACATGGTTGATAGTTTCACGATTGTCCTAAGTTCACCAATTCTCAAAGTCATATCGGGATCATTCATCACAGCTGTTCATATCAAAGTATTTCAAATCACGTACAATATGGCACTGTTCACATGAGTTCAGGTGTAGTTGCATATGCAGGCGTTCATATCAGGAGGTATATATCATAATCAGTATAGAAATTCTCGAATAGGTCTTATATGCAAGCACATGGTACACAATAACACATTAAGCAAAGTTCTTCGGTTACACATAATACAGGATTTGTCGCGCCGAGGTTCCAAATTAGTCGCAAAAACATAGGTTTATGAGTCGGGCCTAGTATAGTCACATAATCCAGTCAATTCTTTACCAATCAAAATGCATGGTCTCACAGTTATAGAGTTCATTACTTGGGGTGCTCAACTCAGTCACACAATCACAGAGTCACAATTCCAGTGGTTTAGTCAATGAAGGTAGTAATGTAACAAATCACCCCAAGCATAGGTTAGATGTACATGTGTATGTGCAGAGTTATTCGATATCTCAACACATATTTCACAAATTTCCCAAATGAAACATATACATTCAATGTATACGGTCTCGATCTTGTGGGTCTAATCAATCTAGATACACATGCAGCAGATACGAAAGAATATGCCGATCCGAATCAAATAATATCTCAAGCAAAGATGTACACATGTACTAATTCAAAATCAATCAACACATAAGCATTCGTTTATGAACAGTATAGATACCTAGGATAACGGTCGCGGTATTTTGAGCGCTTTTATGGGATGAGTGTGATTACTCTATCTTGATTAGCAATTCCTACCATTGGTACGGATCTAGCTGAGGCAGAAGATTTATTCACATTTTGTTCAGTCCGGGGACAGTTCCTCGCCATACGGTCCATTTCACCATACCTATAACAAACCCCAGAAATCCGATAACAAACTCCTCAATGTTTCTTACACTGGTGGTGGCAAAGGTTCTTGCCGTAGCGGCAACTGGCATTGTTGTCTTAAGATCTCGGCCATTTCTTATACTATTCTTTCCAGTCTATCAAGTCGGGCTGTGGAAGAGCCTTCCAGCTCATATGCCCTTAATTTACCCACTATCTACACAAACTCTTATTAAACCTTGCCGATTACTGGGGTGCCCAATACGAAAATAAACACAGATACACATGGGTACATTCGCACGTTGTTATATTCTCACTTCATATATCGCCAAGATACAATTAATCACATACGTAATAGATGATTGCATACTTTTCAGATATTGCATGCTGAACATTTACTAAGTAATTATATACTCAAATCATGTTCATATTTCACATAGACACCCATTTACAGAATCGAATGCACATAGGCAACTTTTCATGATTCATATGTTCATGTATGTGCATTATAACAAAACAAACTTGTTGTACACATTAGTGCAACAATTCATATCTCATATAATCACATGCTCTCAACATTTGATTAAACTTGCATTATGGTTTATATAGAAGATTCACAGGTATGCATATACTAAAGAGCATACATATTCAAATATTTTGCAATGCAAGCAATTCACAAACTTATAGCACATAATCATTCATATCAAAACATTTAAGCATGTTCTCGATGCTTCCAGTTTCATACTTATCACATGAATGCATCCTAGATCTTTTCTAGACGCTTATTGCTCTTTTGGATAAGTGTCTGAGTTATTAACTCGTGCTCTGATACCACTTTGTCACGACCCAAACCCGCCCCTATGGGTTAAGGACATAACCGGCCAATAATCACGAGATTACCTACGGCCTCAAATCAAACATTTCAAAACTCATCAGAGTAAAGGGGCCAAACGGAAGCAAATTTAAAACTTTGCCCATAGAGTCGTGCTTATATGCACATCATAACATTCCATACATACATATGTTAATAACTCACAACAGAAAGTATAGTAACATAAAGTTCTATACAGACATGATCATTCAAATCTAAGTCAGCCAAAACAAAGCTATATACAGACGTACGCCAAAGTCCTCGCCAACATGACAAAATAACATAGAATGGCAACAGGGCGAAGACGTGTCTCGTGCTTGAGACGCAAGGGCTGACTCTTCAAAACCTTAGTTGTTCCATACAGACTTCACTGGGGCTGGGTTTGGACTCCTCTTGGCTCACCTACAAACACATGAATGAGCGTGAGCAAAAGCCCAATGAATAATATCAAATAAAGAATACACATTGGAACAATATACATCAAACAGCCTTGGGCCCAATTTATATCTCTACTAATACATACATGCTTAGACATATGTAAGTTAAGTAACTACGGTTCCAAACACATCATACGGCCTTGGGCCCAATTCATTAGTGTCAAATTGTTATTTGTGTCAAACTGGCCTTTGGCCTTTTCAAACTTCCATATCAAACTGACCTTTAGGTCTTTCAAACTTTCATATCAAACTGGCCTTTAGGCCTTTCAACTTTCATTCATGTCGAACTAGCCTCTGACCCATTCATGCATGCCAAACTTTCATTTATGTCAAAACGGCCTTCGGCCCAACCATTTATGTCAATCGGCCTTCGGCCCAATCATTCATGTCAATCGGCCTTCGGCCCAATCATTCAGTATAACAACCATTGTCCACCAAACGAATCAATGAACTTATAAAATTTACATAGAAGTAAGCAATTTGGACAACAACATATTTTACATATTAGATATTACTCATAGTGATCAGCTCGTGGATTTGCCCTGGAGCTTGACCCTACACATCATATAACACATATGGGTCACAAATAATTCAATCCGTTCTTTAATTCACATATTCCTCTTTAGGCTTCATTCTTATCTCTTTAATTCAATTACAATGCCCAATGTATGCCTAAGAGTGCTCAGAAGTGAAAGGGAACGGAACATGAAACGTAGAACGATCACACAAAATTCTCAAAAACAGGGTCCCCGCTCGAGCGTGTACTTCCCCACTCGAGCGGACCTATGAGGTCTGCAAAAGTACTGGTTATGTCATTTTTACGCTCGAGCGTGAAACTTGGACGCTCGAGCGGAAGTCCATCCTACATAGCTCCCCGCTCGAGCATGGACTTCCCCGCTCGAGCGGACATCATAGTCTGCAGAAAATACTGGGAGCACGAAATTCAAGCTCGAGCGGCGGTTTCCCCGCTCAAGCGGACATCAAATTTCTGGATTTTCCAAAATGTGTTCTTGAGCTCAAATTCGACATTCCAACCACATTTATTGCATATGATGGCTCAAATCTCACATATGCTCGTACTAACATGGTACAAACACTAAATTACAACTTAATGGAGCGCAATTTCTCAAAATAATCACATGCATGGCTTAAATTACACCAAACTCATTTTCATCATAACACATTCATGTATTCAAATCTCTTATCCTCATAAATTGTACATGCATGTGATGTATTACTCTCATCTTTAACTTAGATGATACAAATGGTGATCATAACATCAGCTTTAACCAAAACTCTACATGAATCATGTATTTCAAGCTCAAACATGCAAATTCAAAACAATTTCTTACATGCATGCACATATTGGCTCTCAATTCAACAAAACCAACTCAATTACACTTCAATCCTTACTCTCGATCATTAATCAACTTTGAATACACAAAATTACACATTAAACACATGGATTTACTCACCTAGGAGCTTCAAACACCCAAGTTCTATCCAATTCTTGAGTTCAATCTTTAAATTCCCAAGCTTGAGCCAAAAATTACACAAGTCTCTCCCCCTCTCTCTCTCTCTCTCTCTCTCTATGGCCGGCCCTCTCTCTCTCACAATTGTTTAACTCAGATTTTTTGAGTTCAATAGAAGTAAGGGAGAGTGTATTAAGGCCCCCACTCAACACAATATAATAATAATAAATAATTGGGCACTAATTCACCAATTTAATCAACTTAATTCGGTCTGAATCAATTTTCAATTAAATTTCACCGTAGACTCTAAAACTTATTCCAATCACAATGGCGCAATCAATTTTGGTTTCGGTGGCCGATAAGGCCTTCAATTTAATTTCGAAAGCAGATAATCAAACAGATATTCCTACGGTAAACAGATAGAAATTCAAAACCACATTTTTTCACATACTTGCATACAAAATCATATTAAACACATAATCATACTCATTTTAAGAACCAATTAACATATTACGAAATAGGGATATCATACTTCTTTTAATACTAAATTAGAAATAATTACCTTTTAATCAATAACAAAGAGAATATATTAAAGGAAGTTCAACAGGGAACAAGTGGCCAAGAAGTTCACCAAGCACAAGCTAAAAGGAAGATAAAAAACTGAAAGATTACATATCACACACAGCTTTCCAATATCTAACAATAAAAAATAAGGAAGTCTCCTTGAAAGCGGGGGCCGATGAAGCCCAAAAATATACAAAACAAAAAATTTTATCCCATAAACCCCCTTAAATCTTCTATATTTATCCTCAAACACTCCTGAATTTCTTAGCGTGTCTTAGATAAATCTAAAACAGACCCTGTTAATGTTAGTGTAGATTCAGCAATATGACTCGGCATAAATTGATCCTTCAAAGCACAAATAGTTATCAAAGTTATTTTCTCTAAGACTCTTTAACATATTGAGTCCTCCATGTATACTTCACTCATCTCATAACTGTTCATCTAAGAAAGGAAATACAGTATCATGGAAATATTTGTGCACTAGGATTGCACTAAAATTGTATACATCTCTTCCACCAGATATATATGCATTTGGTGAAAGTGTCCTGCAGCAGCCAAACCTAACCTGTCCTACACCTTACTGATGGAGTTTCATTTCCCAAATGAGTAATTAATCCATTTTGAAATGGCAAAGCAGCACATTTTGGGGCATGTAATGAACCTGGAGAGTTCCATAAAATAACAAACAGAGGCAGGAAATAATCACGTAACATTTGACATAGCTACCTGTACATCTCCGGCAGCAAATACACCTTCAATAGAAGTTTTTGCAGTACCCTCCTCCACCAATACATAACCTTAGCTGTCAAGTTCAATTTGGCCTTCCAAAAATTTGCTATTTGGTGAATGACCTATCCCATAGAATAAGCCTTTTGCCTCAAGCACAAACTCGTCCCTAGTGTCAACTTTTCTAACCAAAATGCCAGACATTTGCCCTTTCGTATTGCTAACAATATCCAGAGTCTCTGTATTGAAGTGCATGGTGATATTTGGATTATTGTAAACTCAGAAACATTCGCCATAATCAACCTGTTAAACAAACATTCAGGGAGTTGAAACTCAACATCTAAATTGTTCATTAGTAATTCTATTCACCAAATGGGGTGAAAAGAGCAACCCATCCCATTAAATACATCAAACTTGTATAACAAGAAAGAATCAAACCAGAACATGCATCCAAAAAGAAGGGGGCCACACACACGTGAGAGGGAATAGAAAACAACCACCACCCAGTGATGTGTCAAGAAGATGATTAGTTGATAATTAAATATTCTCTAATTATCAACCAATCATCTTCTTGACACATTACTGAGTCTAGAAAGTGCATCTAAAAAGTGAACTTGTATATCATTTTCCTTATTATTATTTTGATATCTATTTATTTTTTACCGTGTCCGTGTTTTTTTTATTTAAAATTTCCCTGTTAATGCGTACATATTGTATCACAGCCGCATGGTGTATCCATGTATTCATGCTTCTTATTATCCTACCAAATCATCATATTATCCGGAAAATGTTTCCACTGGAAGCAAAATAGGAGCCATGGGTAATTTACTAATTGATCCAGGACAACACTAACCCGAAACAGTTGCTCAGGGTTGAAGACACTAACTACGTAGCTTAAGACCAAGATGACTAGTGAGCTTGCAAAATGTTGGGGTAATAGTAGTATCTTTAGCTTGAAAAATTTATCAACCCAGGTTAACATATTATTGTAGCATCCTACTGATAAGCCTCACACATTGCATAATTAAGAGCGTCATACAACACCACCTAGGAAGGTAACATAGTTACTAGTGAAATATGTCTCTTTGTTTCATTAAAAGCCCATTATCATATCTAAGTATAAAAAATAAGTAATTATAACCACACAAAACAGTTTTAAGAGCCCAGTTTTAAGAAAACAACACTTCGTTTGGGAACCAGCCCATTTAGCCAAAAAGTCAAAAAGTTATTAAAAAAATCAAAAAGCCAACAACTCATACCAAAAAGTCAAAGATTCTCTTTTCTCTCTACTTTTTGCACATCTTTTCGTAAAAAGCCAAAAAGTCATCCCAAACATACTAGTTTTTTTTAGCTCATATTTTAGCCAAATAGCCAAAAAGTTACTAAATTAGCCTGTTCCCAAACGAGGCCTAGATATGATAATGGGAATCTGGCACATTTTGCTTTTAGAAAGCAGAGAGGAATCTGGCACATTTTGTAGTTGTTCTTTCAATCGTCCTCTATTGGTCAAATATAAAACTACTCGTCAGTATATCATTTAAAACAACTACAAGAAGATAAAAATAACTTTGTATTCCTATAAATTAATTGAGGTATTAATTAAACAAAAGAAAAGAGATGTACATTCTGCTAGCTGCAATTGCCGCTGATAAACATTGGAACAAAACTAATAATAAAGCGGATCTACTGCAGCACTGACAACTATGATAGAATTTGTGCAAAAAGTTGACCTTAAGTAAATTGAATTTCAAGTTTCATAAGCAGTACCTTATGTGGAAGATTGGAGTAAAGTAAAACAAATGAGAAAATTGGAAGAATGTAGAACAAAACCCTCCTATCAAGAAAAACCCCAATCTGCAACAAATATGTTACATCAAGTTAGACAGGGGAAAATGTACTTTAATTCAAGTTGGACAATTTCAAAGAGATCCAAATTCTAAGCAACATGCATGCTGTATAGAGTTTTAACCAGATGTCACTACATCAAAAGATCTGCAAACTATTATTACACTAAAATATGAATAGTTTAAGAAAAAGAAAAGCCTCGCTAGCTATTTATGCAAACAAAAACCAACTCAGAGAAGCATTTAACAATAAAGATTTTTAAATAAGCATTTAACATCAAAAGATATGTGTAATTGACATATTATAGTGGTTAAATGGGAGTTTTGGAAAGCTTGAAAATTGTAAGTCCTTAAATGGGAGTTTTGGAATGCCCTCATGGGACCTTAACCCAACTGTTCCAAAACCATGTAGCATATTTGAAAACTTAAGTAGCAAAGGTGTAACTCCTAATACAACAACATACAACTAGTGTTGGCAAAGAAATTGGAAAGAGCCACTAGTTGATTATATTGCAGCCTCCATATGTTAGAAGTAGAAAAATGAATGTACAAAGGTTGGCCTTCGGTGGAAAATTTGTAGATTATAGATAAGGATTCACCCAAGAAAATGAAAACAAATTAACTTAACAAATCCAAATATTTGTGAAAAAAAAGACTCAATCGAATAGAAGAGAGAGTATGGAGAGAGAGACTGATACGGTGATGAGGTTTGAGACCAGCCGTGGCCATCCTCTTTGCGAAAGCTTCTGATACGAATTTTCTATCCAACAAAAACCTAGAAAAAATCTTGAACAAAAGGAATGATCAAAGTAAAATAGAAGCCATTAGAAGTAGAAATCAAAATTACCTGAAAAATTGGCAATGGCAACAAAATCATAATTTTTCGATCAAAACCCCCAATTAAAAACCCTAAATTTTCAATTTAGAACTGAACTTCTCAAAACTTATTTTTTCTCCCCAAATCACTAGACATATACATGAAATAGAACAAATGGTGATAGAAAAATCTAAACAAAATTTCACAAAAAATAGAAAAATCTACCGTCGTTCAATCAACACCTCTTGACATGGTGGTTTTGAAACCCTAGCTTCATAGAGAGAGAGAGAGAGAGAGAGAGAGAGAGAGAGAGAGAGAAGCAGCAGTTTACCGTAAAAAGAAAGATAGGCTCCAATAAAGAGATGAAATCGAAATCGATGAGACGATCGAAATAGAAATAGAAATCGAAAGCAAAACCAAAGAAATAATGAGAGATCACTTTAACAGAAATCAACAAAGATAAGAGGAAGGAGAGAAGGACGCAATGTACCAGGTAACCCTTTTTCGATGAGACGAACCCTTTCCCCGATTTACCCCAGCAATATTTGCTTCATCACATTCAATCTCTTTCTGATTTCTTCCATCGAATTAGAAGGGGAACCAGAATGTTCCACCGTCTTAATCGCAGGAGCACACAGTGTTTCACACGTACAGTTCTCAAGCCCTAGATTGCCCAAACAATTATGAGTAAAAACCCCCAAATTTTCATCATCAATGGTAACAGTAGCTACAGACATCAGGAAATCAATGAGATATTGAAACCCTAGAAAACAATGAGTTTTCTAGAGAGCTTCTCTCTCTAACCCATCTTTTGAATTTAACTTAGTTAAATTGAAGCCCTTTCCATTCTCCCTTTTGATGAAACCTTCGGGTTTATTTTCATGAGAAGCCAAAGCCTTGTATTTTGATATATTTGTTTGTTTTTTTGTGATTGGCAACCCAAATTTCATTTTGGTGCCTTTTTTTTTTAATCATACAATTTACAACATGCATTGTGCGTCGTAAAAAAACAATACTTTTAACGGCAAGCGATGTGCACGTCGTAAAAAGTGCAATACTTTTAATGGCGGGCATTGTGTACGCCATGAAAAGTATTCACTTTTCACGGCTGGTGTATGTGCATCGTGTGTAATTGATGTATTAACGGCACGCCATATGCACGTCGTAAAAACTTTTATTATTTACGGCGTGCATTGCAAGCCGTAAAAAATTATCATTATTACCATTCACGGCCTACGCAATAGACACGCCGTGGTTGGAAAAGTATTTACGACGTGCAAAAAAAATAAGTCGTAAAAATGAGAAACTACGGCGTGCATTTATTGTACGTTGTTGATGTGGTGCCGTAAAAAGTCAATTTTGTTGTAGTGATTACTCATCATAATTATTCTCATCTTCTACAAACACATGAACTCAATTCCATAAATCAAATGTCAATTGAATCTTTCTTTATTCCCAACATAGATTCCATAACTAAGGTTAAACATAAATTAGGGCTTTTTGCTATTTAACACAAAACCACATTCTCATGACCCAAACATTATATATTCCACTTAAATCATCAATTCAAATTCCATAAATCAAAAACCCTGGCTCCCTTCACAGGCCATTACTAAAAATTTCCTCAAAATGAGGGCTTTATGCAATAAAAAGTATCACCCATCTATCCACAAGACAATATTGAAGAGAAGCAAGGAAAGTCCCTACCTTAAGCAAGGAGAGAGAGAAACCCGAAGTTTCGACTTCAACGAAAACACGATCCACTTGGATAGATTGAAAGCCCTTGGTGCACTCTACAACCTTCCTCGAGGGACCTAGGTGAGAAGATGCTTCTAGATGAGTAGATCTAGCAATCTAAGTGGGAAAAAATTGGGTTTAGAGAGAGATGAGAGAGGCTCATGGTTTGAGAGTAAAGGGGAGGAGAAAAGTGAAATGAAACCATGCTTGGGGCCTATTTATAGTAGTAGAGAAGTAGCCCTAAGGTCAATAAAATAATAGGCCCAAAACCCCCCAAAGGTAGGGCCCATTTGAACCCCAAAATCTGAAGAAAAAAAAACAGGCAGGGGTCGACCCTTTAGGTAAAAAAGACAATCTGGCACAAGAAAGGGGGGGTCGACCCTTAGACAAGAGGGGGTCGACCCTATTTTCCAGCAACCAACACACAAATTCTGCAACATAAGAGGGTCGACCCTTCCCAGATTGGTGTCGACCCTATAGAAAACCAGTAGAGGCACTAAGAATTCAAACAGGTGTAACTCTCTCGTTCGGACTCCGTTTTAGGTCGTTCTTGTGTCCAAATAGAAGCCCCGAAAACAAGCTTTCCAATGGTTCTGACCTCACATTCAAATTCAAAGTATGGACGGAGAAAAGAGCTAAGGAGTGAAGGTTGGTCAAAAACGAAAACTCAAATTTGGGGCTTTTGATCTAGTCTTAACTAAATACCTTATTAAGGCTTCAATCAAGGTTCAAAACATCACCCAAGGGTCCTAAATTATAATATTTAAGGTTTTTTTGCCAACCCATCAATACCAAGAGTCCAACAACCACACAAGTTTTAAGGTGACGAGCACCACTTTACACTAATCCGATACGTATTAAAATCCGAGCCACTACAAATTTATTGAGTGATTTACTGAGAATTTACTAGGAATTGACTGAAGAATTAACTGAGAATTTACTGAGTAATTCACTGAGAATGCATTGGGAATTTACTATGAATTTCCAGGGAATTTACTGAGTAGTTTACTAAGAATTTATCAGAAATTTACTGAGAATTACTGGGAATTTATTGAGTAATTGACTTGTAATTTACTGAGTAATTTACTTAGAACTTACTGAGTAATTTACTGAGAATTCAATAAGTAATTTCCTAAGCAATTATTTGGGAATTTACTGAGTAATTTACTAATTAATTTACTAAGAATTTATTGGGAACTTACCGAGTAATTTACACAGTAACTTACTGAGAATTTACTGAGTAATTTACCGAGTAACGTACTGAGCAATTTATTGAGAATTTACCGAGTAATATACTGAGTAATTTATTGAGAATTTACTCAAAATTTACTAAGTAAGTTACTAAGAATTTACTGGGAAATTTGCTGAGTAATTCATCAAGAATTTATTGCGAATTTACTGAGAATTTACTGAGTACTTTTCAGAGAAATTTATTGAGAATTTTCTGGGTGATTTATTGAGAATTTACAGGGACTTTACTGAGTAATTTACTGAGAATGTACTGGGAATTTACTAAGAATTTCCTGAGAATTTCCTAAGAATTTTCTAAGTAATTTACTAGGAATTTACTAAGAAATTATTGGGAATTTAATTAGTAATTTTTTGAAAATTTATTGAGAATTTACAGATAATTTCTTGAGTAATTTACTAGGAATTTACAGAGTAATTTACTGAGTGATTTACTAAGAATTTACTGGAAATTTATTGATTATTTTATTGAGAATTTAATGAGAATTTACTGTGAATTTACCGAATAATTTAGGAAGAATTTACTAAGTAATTTATAAAGAATTTAATAAGAAATTATTAGGAATTTACTGTATAATTTACTAATAGTTTATTAAGTAATTTACAGAAAATTTATAGAGAATTTAATAAGTAAATTTTTGAGAATTTCTGTGAATTTATTGAGCAATTTACTGAGAATTTATTGGGTAATTTACTGGGAATTCACTAAGAATTTGTTGGGAATTTATTACGTAATTTATTGAGAATTTACTGAGTAATTTACTGATTAATTTATTGAGAATTTACTGGGAATTTACTGAGTAATTTACTGAGAATTTATTGGGAATTTTTTGAATAATTTAATGAGAATTTACTGAGTAATTTACTGAGAATTTATAGAGTAATTTATTGAGAATTTGCTTAGAATTTACTAGGAATTTACTGGATAATTTGCTGAGAATTTCTTAAAAAATTTACTTAGAATTTATAAGGAATTTACCAATTAAGTTACTAAGTAATTTACTTGGAAATTACTGGAAATTTACTATGTAATTTAGTGGGAATTTACAAAGTAATTTACTGAGTAATTTACTAAGAATTTATTGGGAATTTTCTGAATAATTTATTAGAAATTTACTAAGTAATTTACCGAGAATTTACTCAAAATTTATTGAGTAATTTGCTGAGAATTTGCTGAGTAATTTACTGAGAATTTACGGGGAATTTACTGAGAATTTAATGGGAATTTACTAAGTAATGTACTGAGTAATTCACTAT